TGGTACATTATATAAAATGCTATTTGAATAGGATTACAGGAATCAATGAGTTAAAAGTGTACGGGACTGGCTTGACTTCTTTGGTACATTATACAAAATGCTATTTCATGAATTCTCTGATGCTTGGTTTGGAATGCAGTGCACTGGGAGAATGTGATAGGAAGTAATAGTTCAAAGCACAGCTCCATTAAAACATTTGTAAATGAGGTTATAAACCGATTTTATAAGCCATTTGTCATATATTTGTGTCTAACTGAACCTAGTGTTTTGATTCAAATTAGTATATATTAGTAAATATCTAATATAAATCACAATTGAATCATGAAATGTTAGGGAAAAGGAGAATTGCCATCATGAGGTTTTTATATGAGAAGGTTATATAATATTAGGAGTAATTGTCTCATAAAAGAAGATATTGCCAAAGCGTTAATTAATTACAGAAAATGGCTTCAGTCGGATTCTAAGAAATGAAATGGAATTTGTAAATTAATGGCATTTCAGATTTACTTTCAGATATGGTCTTGTAACATCACTGCAAAGTTTATAACAAATTTTATACTTTCATGGGTTTTTCACAAATTATCATTTTCTTTCATGTTTTTTTTCACAAATTATCATTCTAGAATTCAGTTCTTTGAGTTATATTGTAAAATTAATTTCTAGTTATACATTTCTTTTAATGAGTCTAAAAATATGTCATCAAGATATACTGAAGTGTCATTTGTCTATGAACCTGTGACATATGATGATGATGTCATAGGTCATGGCAGAAGCATCAAAATTAATATCTTGGCATCCCAGAGTTGAAGCAGAGTGTTCCCAAGACCCTAGTTCAGTAGAAAGTGATTCCTAACCAAATCAATAAGAATTCAATTGTGCTTCTCGCTTGATTACATAATTCCTTATGAAATGAACAAATTGATCATCTAGACTTGTATGTTATAAATGAGTTCTTATTATTTATCAAGTATACTTGCAATTTTATGTTTCTGATTTATTTTATTATATCTACTTATTATCTTCAAGTATCATGTGGTTGTTTTTTAATTCAGAAAAATGTTAGCTTGATAATTATAGAAGAGGATGAATAATCACCAAGTATCACATAGTTATCAGTAGTATTATTCTTGAAAATAGTTCATTGATAAATCACTAAAGGCAACATTTGCAAAACAAAAACAGCATAAACCCCTGTGAATCATATGTGGTATATCATAGTACATGTATTGTAAAATCCATCAGAGTTCAAGTTTGAAAATGTTCATCTTAAAAAGATGAATTTAAGAGCTAATATATGTAATATGAAGAATATAAATGAGAACCGTAAAGCGCATTCATGTGACAGAAGTGTCCATCTTCAAGGTATGCTCAATTTGAGAGGTTTAATACTTTTAATAAATGTTTAGCTCGCGGGTATTGATAGAGATCAAAACCAAAATATATTTTATACAGCACCATATTTCATAACAAATATGGCATTAGCGCAAGCTCGTTGGAATTGTTGATCATCTGTGGAGCAATATAAATGATTTAATGTTATAAAGCCATACTTTATCTGCAGCTTACCTTCAGTATTTGCTGGTTATTACGTTCTGTTATTAGATGTCAAATGCTGGTTGAATTAATGTTTCTGTGTGAACATGCAATATTGTTGTTTCATTGTAAACCAAGGGAACTTCTAGATTTTCTCATTCAATGAGCAGTAAAAAAAAGCATTCCACTTCGGAGGTGTTCCACTTATAGAGGTTTAATTAACATTCAACAACAGTCAGTTGGTCTTGGGCCTCTGAAAAGTGTTCCACTAACAAAGGTGTTTAGTTCTAGAGGTATTCTACATTTAAGTTTCACTGTACAATATTATATATTTCACGAGAACAGCCAAATAGTGACATCAAAGTGAATCTGGAATTTTTGGGAAGCAAGGCTTTTAGAAATGAAATGTCAAACTTAAGCATAGCAGTCTTCTTTGACAGGGAATCAATATGCAGGAATACTCAAAATGTAATGAAAATGGATCAGTGAGAACATGGCCTAATTGAGACCTTCATAATACATATATACATTTCCATGGAACATGGGCCTGTATATGTAAATTATTACCACCTTGCCGGGCCAGTTCTAGGGGTTTTAGTACTAGATTAGAAGGTATTCATTTTACTATATTGACCTGAGCAATATGTGACGTCATAGTGGTGGTCAATATAGCCGGTCGAGAATGTATTTAACGACCAGCAATTTTCCCCGGGAAATTAGATATCGTTCAGTACGTAAGATTTTCTTGCTGTTTCAGTCCTGGTCATTAACGGTGGTAATAATACTAATAACGTCATTTCTGCGGGCAATATAGTGAAATATTAGAACTTGGGCCTTCAGCCCTCGGCCTTCGGCCCTCGGTCCAATATTTCACTATATTGCCCACAGAAATGATGTTTTTGTACTAATAACTAGAATATATAGTTAAATAAGAAAATCAGTTTCTGACCTCTCTTTAGAACTTGTTTCATTCTATTCCATTTCAGTCTCTGCTTGATATGACAATTTCATCGTCAATGCATTATACACTGGGAGGTTTTAGATACAGGGAATATCCTGAGGGATATATAATATATCTTCCAGAGGGCCCAAATCAACCATTGAGAACATGCTAACCTAAACGCTTTACACAGAGTGAGTTATATAGAGAACGAACCTTAAAAGCTTTACACAGAGTGAGCTATACAACAGAACCAACCCTAAAAGCTTTACACACGCCTTACCATCGCGTAAGCAGGCGTCACCGTACAGCGTAAAAAAATAGCGGAGTACAGTTTTCTGTACGGTAACGCAAATTAACTGCTTTGAAGCAAAAACTATGACAAGGGTTTAAAAAAATTAATTTGATGAAAACGAATACGATTTCATGTGAAATAAAAACAGCATTAATACTTCCTGTCCGCCTGTCCGCCATCTTAAATGCGAAGGTGACGGCTGTAACCTTCGCTTGATACTTACCAGTGATAATGTACATGTAGATCTGACGCTTCTTTACCTCTTGTTCGAACAGTAAGATTAGAGCACTTCATAAAATCTAAGGAAGCGTCACCGTACAGCTGATGCGTCACCGTACAGTTCTGATCTTTTTTAAATAAATACACTGAATGATTATTTGCCGAATATTCATCTGTTCTAAATGTGTAGATAACAAATACATATTCTCATAAAAATAATCCATACTCTCAGACGACAGGGAAAATAATAACCAAACGAAAAGTGAAAAAAACACCATTTTTCTCTCGAGTCGATTATGTGGGCCGATCCAGTCAGAAAAAATCCGAGCAGTGCTCGAAAAACTTTTATCATAATTAGAAAGTTAAAACCATTCCTAAGAGAATGCTGTTTTTATTATCCCATCGAACGAAGTTCGGAGGGATATAGGGAACGCCTCCGTCCGTCCGTCCGTCCGTCCGTCCGTCCGTCCGTCCGTCTGTCCGTCCGTCTGTCCGTCCGTCTGTCCGTCCGTCCGGGCAATAACTCAAATACCGTTAGCCCGATTTTGTTCATATTTTGTACACATATACCCTATGGGGGAAGAAGTTCTGCTCAAAAGCCTATTTTCAAAATGGCTGCTCATTTAAAAATGGCAGCCATCTTAGTGCCGATTTTACAGTAATTTAGGTGCAATATGTAAAACTGTTATAGGAATATGTTTTAAATGTGAAAAAATTACAAAGGACATTAATAAAGCTAGAAATGTAGATATTAAAGAAGCGCATGGCAGCCATCTTGAAAAATGGCGGCCTTTACTCGTAATTTTATGATTTTTGCTGTTACTCGAAAAGTAGTGGAGCGATTTTGTTCATATTTGGTATAAGAATACTATAAGCATGGCACACTGTCTAATAATACTTTTGGAAGAAGGCGGCCATTTTGAAAAATGGCAGCCATTTTGAAAAATGGCCGCCATTTTAACGTATTTTACTATAATTCGAAAAGTAGTGGAGCGATTTTGTTCATATTTGGTATGTGAATTCTATAAGCATAGCACACTGTCTGGTTACACTTTTGGTAGAAGGCGGACATTTTGAAAAATGGCTGCCATTTTAACGTTTTTTACTATAACTCGAAAAGTAGTGAAGCGATTTTGTTAATATTTGGTATGTGAATACTATAAGCATGGCACACTGTCTAATGACACTTTTGGTAGAAGGCGGCCATTTTAACGTATTTTACACACTGTCTAGTTACACTTTTGGTAGAAGGTGGCCATTTTGAAAAATGGCCGCCATTTTAACGTTTTTTACTATAACTCGAAAAGTAGTGAAGCGATTTTGTTCATATTTGGTATGTGAATACTATAAGCATATCACACTGTCTAATGACACTGTCTAATGGTAGAAGGTGGCCATTTTGAAAAATGGCTGCCATTTGTGCTATATACTTTGTTTGTAAATATGCAAGCCATGGCTGTTCGATGGGATTCGCTACGCTTTGGCGTTGCCGTTGTTCTGGTTACACCCGAAATCCTTTTATTTTCATCTAATTAATATTTTTAAAACCCTCATTATAGTTTTTGCTTCAACTCAGTTAATTTTCATCACCATACAGAAAACTGTACTACTGTTTTTTTTTACGCTGTACGGTGACGCCTGCTTACGCGATGGTTAGGCGTGTTACACAGAGTTGGCTATACAACAGTTCCAACCCTAAAAGTTTGACACAGAGTGGGCTATACAACAGAACCAACCGCAAAAGCTTTACACAGAGTGGGCTATACAACAGAACCAACCCTAAAAGCTTTACACAGAGTGGGCTATACAACAGAACGAATCCTAAAAGCTTTACACAGAGTGGGCTTTACAACAGAATGAATCCTAAAAGCTTTACACAGAGTGGGCTATATAACAGAACCAACCCTAAAAGCTTTATACAGAGTGGGCTATATAACAGAACCAACCCTAAAAGCTTTACACAGAGTGGGCTATATAACTTATGTAATAAGGCATTTTCTCTATCATTTGCAGATCACAACTCTAGTCAATCACCGAGAACATGCTAAGCTCACAGAACGAACCCTAAAAGCCTTACACAGGGTGGGCCAGGCTGTGCAGTTAGCCGTTGAGAGGTTTGTCACAGTAGGCGAGTCTATAGGAGAAGACAATGAAGAGATCAGAAGTGATATGTGTGTTGCCTGCAAGGACGCTAGAACTGCAGGTTAGTCATATTATTTAATTGCACAAACAGTGTCACTGAGTAAAGATAACACATGAACTGCACAAGTATTTATATATCATAGTAAAGCTTTGCTATTCATGTACCAAAATGCATCTTGATTCACAAAGTGTCAGCTTCATCTCGGAAGTTGAAGACCAAAAGGAAGTTTTCTGTATTTTTCTGCGCAAAGACATCTCTGTATAGTCCTGCATACCAGTTACATCTGAACACTATTCCAGGATTGTATGTAAGACTATGTACTCTGCATTGTGGTATGTTGTATAGGAATTATCCTATATGAGGTTTAGGATATTGGGATTATCTCTTGCCTAGTATAATGTGATGATACATGTCTTTACTTATCAAGCAGGACTCATAAATGATTTATGCATGTAATTATTATAATTTGAATATTCAATGATGATTTGTTGATTAATTAAATGTTTTATTTTAAGCATTTTCAGAGAATGTATGTTTGTTTCAGCATATTATTTTATACTGAGCCCCTGGCCAGTTGTAAGAGATTGTGCCGAATGCCTTAAGTGCCATCTATTAATACCAAGTTGTTGTTTTGTAACAGTCTCTTTATAATAGATGTCACATACACATGAACATTATTACAGTGAACATGTAGCACAATATAACATACATACAACCTAAGTGTGTTAACCTTCTGCATGCTAACTTAATTCAGCAAATATATCCCACGCGACTGACTTATTTTTCAAAGAGTGCGAAAAATGATATGCCTGGACTAAATAATTAATATCTCAATAACTACTGAATGAATCTGGATAAAATTTTCACAAAGAGAAGATACATTGGCCTGGCTCATGAAAAAAATGTTCTCATGAATTTTTTACATAAATAAACAGGACTGGGCATAAATTTACCATGAATACTCCTCCGGAATCCGCCGCTTCGCCCCTGTGGAGATTCAACGTCTGGTCAGAATCCAAAACTGAATTTGCAGCGATCGAATGTTCATTTTTCAGTTCTGAAAATATTCTAGTTTCTATTTGCGATACCATTATCGGCTTCCAAGAGCCTAAAGAGCTCGAAAACGCGATCCATCTCCTCCACATGTTCGTTGTGATTGTATTTGGCCGCCATTTTGTATGATTTGTTCACTAAAAACGACTTAAACACTGTTTAAATCGTTGAATTGAGAAATATTTTTCGAAACATCGCCATTTCTAGGTCAACAGGAAGTCCCCACGTAAGGACTAAATAAATCGGGCAATCTGATTGGATCATAAGACCGGCGGGAAAAAGTTAAGTTTTTGAAAGTTTAAATTCGACTGGAGTCAACGGCAGTTGCCGGGGATTGTTAAGCACGGGCGACTACGCTCGCCGGTAGTATGCTAAAGGTTAAACATAAAGCATACTGTATGTTGAACATAATATATGTAGAATATAACATATGTTGAACTTAAGTTATATGTATAATATGTGTTATATGTCATATGTACTGGTATATGTAATATGTATTATATAAACATGTATAATATAACATATGTTGAACATAAGTCATTTGTATTGATAATATGTCATATGTATATAGAGATTATCCTATATGAAGTTGAGGATATTGGGATTATCCCGAGGCCAATATAATATTAAGTTCAGTTGGCCACAGTTAACAAAGAATTTCCAACCTACAGTAGAGTTATTGTCGAATATTCATGTCCAGTTTTGTTTTCATGGCTGTGGCTAGATTTTCCTGTTCTTTCAGATATACATTCACATTTTTCGAATTTTTGATTATTAACAGGGAGACATATGCTTTTTCTTTAAATCATCAAACAGATCGCGATTGTCTGCGTTTTTCTCCATTGTCGTTTACAGTAATTATGCGAACGTTAGAAAAATGAACCAATATCTGAGCGGGATGTAAAGCTATATCTGCCTGCTGGTGAAAATATAACCTACTTTACGTACCTGTAACATGTCCTAGTATGGGATGATATATGGACATGTATAATATAACATGTGTTGAACATAAGTCATATGTTGAATACAATATATATACAATATAACATGTGTTGAACATAAGTCATATGTTGAATACAATGTATATATAATATAACATGTGTTGAACATAAGGATATGTTGAACACAGAATTGTATATATAGCACATTAAACAGGTTCTTATATATTGAACATAGGAGAGTTCTGGCATAAATAATACATTATTATACATTGCCTATGTCTTTCTGAATATTAAACGATTAATCTTATTTACCCTCAATTTTGATGACTAATGGGGTTTCAATTTTTGAATAGTTATGGGGGTTGCATGAGTCCCTCAAACCCCCTCTTCCTATGCCCCTGTAAGTTTGCATCATAATGTAGAAGTTTACATTAGCGTTAATAGCAATTATAAGATTGGGGCAAATGAATGATTTTTACTGGGATAACACCCCAGCACATAAGGCCATCCTGTGCAACCGGTGCAATGGATGGATTGGGACTTAAATGGAAGCTAAGTGGAATCAGTTTTCAAACTTTTTATGGGAGCATTCCAAAAACAACAATGAGTTATCATAGATTTTGAGATCTGTTTGCAGAGTTGGTACTATGATGAAAAATACATTGCTAATGGTGGCAGTTATGCACTCAATGTTTGGCAAATATCTACCAAGTTTCATGAAGATTGGTCTAGTAGTACTGAAATGGTAACATCTTTGACATTACTTTGGATCACCATGTAGCCTGGTTCATATTCATTATTATTTATTATTAATCCTTGTTTTGAAGTAAGACAAATAGTGCACTTAAATAAATGAAACAGATCCGTTGTTCTGTAAATATAGACTACACATACTTACAATTATAAATGTTAGTTAAATATTCAAGATTATGTCAAATGATATAAATGACCTATTATATTAGAAAATTTACTATCTGTAAAATTACCTTTGAATTGATTGATTATTTAAAACAAATGATACGTAATTAAGATCAAGAACATTATTATATTGCTTAGCACAATATGTGTATAGTTAGTGTTAATAGGACCATTCATCAATACGCTCATTTGAATTCATAAATCACATTGAATTTAATGTACCAATTGCGCAAAATCTCATTCTCAAAATCCAGGTATGATTATGCATTTTGTTTTAACCAAAATGCCTCTATTATTTGCCACCAAATTTCCCAAGATCATTATTTCAACCTACTGTTGTTAAAGTTTTGCTCTATCTAGATTCTGTAAAATTGATATTGAAATTATATATAATACCACTGCAGTAGTCCCTCAATCCCTCACAATTGTACATTAATTAGTTTTAATTATAAATCATATTGTTAATAGGTTTCATAGAAAATATAACAATTATCATTATGATCACTTATAAGATTAACTAAAGGATCATTTTCGATTATTATATCCTAGAAAGACAATTGCCTGACTTAACCATTTCAAGTTTTATCTCAAAGGTGTGAATGGAAGAAAATCAGGCTGAAAAACAGGTAAAACATTTGTTTCTTCTTATACTTTCAGTTTTATGCTATTATGACCTTTTCAATTTTTCATTACTATTTTTTCATGAAGTATCTATTATTTATGTTTGCATCAAACAAAGGATGTTTATTTTTTTAGTCATGTCATTTATAACTTCACAAGTAATTTGAGTTGTGAATATGTTATTTATTAAATTACATGCTATTTTATGATATGGAAATATACTTGTGTAAATACACTTGATACCATTGTTTAAGTGGCTTGTATATCATTCTCATCTGATGATCTGAAAACTGGATTTAAAAAGTTAGAAACCAGGTAAATAACATTTAAAAGTTTTCTTTAATTAACGGTATCTTTCTCATATTAAATCTATTTTTTTTTTATTATGTAGTGTGTATGTAATGCTTCTTATGATTGATGGTGTGGTCATGTCTTTTTTTACATTCATAAGCATGGTACACCTGTCTTATGACATTTTTGCTAGTTGTCGGCCATTTGGGAAAAGGCAGAACTTTTTATGTATGTTATTTCCATTTTTCCTTTAACTCGAAAAGTAGTGCAGTCATTTTGTTGAACTTTTATATGTGACTACTTTGAAGCATATCACACTTCCTTATGCCAGTTTGGCTAGTGACTGGCCAAATCCAACAGATGGCAGTGTTTATATCACTTCTCACATTGAAATTTTTTGCAAAGCCAGTCACATTTTAACCAAAATATACCGGTTTTATCATATTGTTTCACCAAATAAGTATTATTAAGGTAAGTTGTACTATCTTTTTTAAGTTTAAGTTGTATAAGCTTGATTTATTAGGTTAAACTTGGAAAAAATGCCGTTTGACCTAAAATGAATATGTCCGCCTGGGGCAATTTTCAAGTGGATACAACCCACACTGTTTTTTGAAATTTTTTATATGAATGCTTTGAAGCATATTACACTTTTCAATGACATTTTTGCTACTAAACGGCCATTTTGAAAAATTGTGGCAGTTCTATGTGTGTTATTTTGTGTTTTTTTGAGTGATTGCACTGTCTAATTCATGAAATATCATCAGCTGACTGAAGCGAATGATTGATTGATTGTAACATTATAATATTGCAGGTGTCCATTGAAAGATGTCTCTTAAGTATATTACACTGGTGCTTGTACTGGAAATGGTTAGCTACGGATTTACAGATTCCATACTTGACACGAACAGCACGGGCCTTATGAACAACACTGCCCCCATAAACAACGCTGCCCTCACGCCATGTATGCCTTGCATCCTGAAGACTGTTAAGTGCTCTCCTATTGAAGACAGGGATAAGAAGAAGAAATGTTTCACTAACATCTACAATAAATGTGCTAAAAAGAAATGCCCAATATCGAAGCCTAAAACCAAGAAAGGAAAAAAAGGTTGAACATCATTCAAGTGGTGGATGTGACTTATTATTTGTGCATGCACAAGATTGTAAACATGTTATTATATAACATATTAAATATGGATGATTAACCTAATCTTTCTGGAAAATTCTGCAGACTGAAGG